CAGAGGATTTGCTACCATAAAGGCTATCACTAAGGCAGTGAATGCAGATTAACAGCAACTGCCTTTGTCAAGGAGCTGTTTCAGGCTGTCAGAGACAAGACTGGGAATCAACCTGCGGTTATATCTGATCCCGTCCGCACTCCCATCTCTGAGGTATAGACCAGTGTTAAGTTCCAGCAACCTTTCTGAGCCTGGCTTGGCCTCTCAAGGCCATCTTCTGACATATTATGCTCAGATGGGCTCAAGCATTTGCTCTTGCATTTGTAACATTAAAAAATAAAAGGTTTTATTTAATCCAACTCTTCTGTCCCAGTATTTTTCACCATCTTTTCAAGGATATATAGAAAGTAACACTTTTCAGATGGCGGTAACAAGTTTAAGCTTCCCTACAGTTGTTTTTTTATATTCATCTTCAACACAAGAATTTTTACCTTCTGTAGAGCCATTCTCCAGTTTCAGTAGTATCATTTCTACACATATTTTAATCTTCATGGACAGAATGAGTTATATTTCCTCTTCTTTYCCTTGTATAATCATTCATCGGAAACTGCTTCATTGATCACAAAAGTCCCTCTGGGACATGGGCTGGTGCATAAAAGACAGTTCAGAATTGCAACTGCAACTGTGAAAGTTAATATTTGTGAGGGGCCATATTTCTCACCAGATCTTTTCTGAAATATGCCCAAACATCAATAGAATTTTCCTACAAAACTCAGCATCAGGTTACCCAATACCATTAAAATAACAAGTCCTCAGTATTGGCGCCTGCCCTGCTAACRTATTTTGGGGGTTCAGAGAAGAATATTCTTGCTAAGTCACACTAAGAAAATCCACTGAGACAAGCAGCCTGCACAATGAAACAGCAATGCCAGCATGCAGATCTTTGAATGCTCTTTTCTTTTTCCACTAAAGATCTTTAAGCTTTAATGAAGCTGTTTAACTTCCTGCTTTGAAAAGAACCTGTTCCTTTTCTTTCACAATAGATCAATCCCACCGACCTTGCAGAATGGCACAGTKATTGACTTTAAGAAGAGTCCACAATTTAGCAGTTTCAAAAGTTCAGAAAGGATCTTTTACAGTAATTTGGATCCACCACAGGCTCTCAGCTACTTGGCAGCACAAGATAGTCTTGGTCTCTGCCTACTGGGAGGCAGAAAGGAGTCCTTGGTACTTCTGCTAGGACTTGATTCCTTTTAAGTCACTTCTAGTATCCCAGAATCAGGATTCCAGCACCACAAAGGCAGCAGCGATTCCTTCTCAAGCTTCCAGTATTTTATCTTTTTCTCCACTATTTTGTCATTTTGGAGGCAGGATATGATTACTCGCTAGGATAAACTAGGGGAGACCCTGCAATATTTCCTGGACTCTGCTGCTGTATTTCACACTGCCTTGCTTCCAAGGGGCTTAGAAGGAAGTATAAGAACCTCAGCAAAAGATCAATGAGACTGAATAAGCTAGAGGGGAAAAAATGTTGTGTCAAGAAATGGGAAGTATTCCTCTGTAGAAAAAGCAGTGTTCTCAATGTTGAGCAGAGCCTTCCAGAAAGAGCAGCAGAAGGAAAAAAATGCATAACAAGAATGGAACTGGTTTTCAGGTTGTCTTCACYGAGTTTGTGCAGATAGTGCCTAAGATCTTGGTCTTCACCTGGGGCTCCCTGACACAGTGGTAGCGAGAGTTACATACATAGGAGAATCCACGCTGACAACTCAGGGGAAAAAAGAAAGAACAAAAAACCCTCAAAACCCCTAAACTTTGATGTAAACTTAATCTTAACCAAGTCCACTTTAATACAAACTTAATTCAAAGTCAGTTTACTCTGAATACCTCAGAAGAACACATTCTATGAAGCTTTAAATAGGTCTGCATTGTTTTCAAAAATTTGTTCAAAGTCACCTACAGTTCAAAAAGAGGGGAAAGAGATGGGGGGAAAGCATACACAGGAAAAAAGCTACCTAAGATATTACATATGTTTAAAAAAAGGGGGTGAGGGGCAGTGCGAGAAAGAAGGGACTGTTAAAAGAGGTGGAGTTGCCAGGATATTTTTCCAGCAAGAACTGACCAGCTCGGGTCCACTCCATTACTAGCACCTTCAGTTTTGCACTGAAAATGCTGAAAATTACATTCAGTTAGAGACCTAAACACACACTTCCAAAAATTAATCCCCMTGCAATGCACTTCCTTTAAGTCCTATCTGAAATTAAAGTGTCCCACGCTTGGAGTCACTATTTGGGTCATTGCAAAGCACATTTCAGGCCGCTCCCAACCTCTAGATCTAATTCACCTGTATGTCCAAGTCTAGAACAGCCTTATAAATTACRTGCCTGAATCAGTCTAATTCTCTTTATCTCCCGATCTGTAGCTTGAGTGCAGTAAAATAAGTGTGCCCTCAAAAATCTCAAATGAGTGTGCAGTGCTGTATTCAAGCTTTTTTGGACTTCRGTTTGTTCAAGTACTTCAACAAACGATAAGACTCTGAAGGTAACTCAACATAAGTCTCCACAGCAGCACYATCACGACTGTGAGCAAACTCAGAGATTAATAAACTCGGCTTTGTTGTTGTTATAGCATACAAAATTCAAGTATCTGTCTCAACTTTGTAAGATTTACCCTTGAGAAGCGTGTTCACCTTTGCAGGCCCTTTTAAAGCTGACTTGGGCGCTACAGCAGGTTTCTGGCTGAAATCCTTTGTCCCTCAGAGGTGTTTTCTCAAGTCCTTATTCTTCTGGACACCTCTATGTARACAAAAACACATTAATCACCGGACTAAATCTGATAGTTAATGTTTCGAAAGGGAGAAGTTGCTCGCTCTCACATCCTAAATTACTTTCTCTCTTTTTTATTTTTAAATAAAGCTAAAAACTGCTTTGAAGTACATGCTGAGTAGAAAGTTTTCGTTTTCTTAGAAACAGAACAGTGCCYGTTTCAGAAAAAAGCATGAAGAAATACAAAAAAAGGAACCATGATAGGTATCAGCAAGTCTTTAAAATCAAAGCCAGGAACAAAACCAATACAGCAGTAATACCTGGTTACTTAAGTCACATGCTACTCAAACAAGAATTAAACCTGTACTTCCCTATGAATTCAGTACAAATAATCTAGATGTCTTTACTAATACAAAGGTTCTTTTCCTAGCACAGTTGTACTTTGCCTGCTAAGAAYRAGATAGCTGTAGTTAATCAGTTTAAAGAAGCCACTGTTTTCACAAGTGTGTTAGAAAGCTGCTTCACTGGCTTCCTGTTCACCTTGAGACATTTGTTTTTCCGATTCCTTTCATTCCAAATCTTTTTGGAAACACAGGCCAGTTCAGGTTTTTTTTTCAGTCTACAGAGTCACAGATATCCTGGGCAAGCCACAGACCAGTAGACAGCATTAAGGAAGAGGCTCTTGGTTAAATTTGCACTCATGCAGCTAAAGTGAACTGCCAGTTAAGAATTCAGGTAACTCCCAAGCTAAGAAATATTTCATTGGTTTATTTCCTCCCTTTTACACAAGGATCAATCATSTTCCATGAGCGTTTATGAACGTCACAGGAATTCTTACAGCAGTCATTTTATGACAGCTGCCCAAGACACCACGTGGTGACATTTAGTCATCCCACTCCCCAGGAGGAGGTTTTTCATTTTTAAAAACTATACGCAGGGGGTTTTGCGAGATATTGATGTTCTGCTTCACACGGGCCATGACAGGTTCACAAGCAACAGAGCCCAACAAACCAAAGCTTAGTCCCAAGTCTCCCTTCAGGATCTGCCATGCTGCAAGTTTGACRAAACTCAGAACAGCAAGTCTGAGAATAGTAGCCAGCACTTTTTTTTTCCCCCCCTCCAACTATCAAAATATTTTAATGATACAAAAAGGCAGCTTCCTCCTCCCACACCAAGTTGCCAGCAAGAACAGTCTGTTTTGCAAGAGCCTGAATTGCTCGTGCCAGCAGGGCTGCGTTAGCTCTCGTGGCTGCGCAGAGCTGCACAAAGCCCAGAGCAGGCACCAACAGAGCAGCYGTGCGTGGCACAGCCTGTACTCTCACTTCAAGGTGGCGGGACTAACTCGCTTGGGTAAAAAGCACTGATTTCTAGACCAGATTATCACAGCTGTCCATATCAATAGAGTGGAGAAAGCCTTACACTCAGCACATGCATGCTGCAGGGCAGACAAAAAAGCTGTCATGTCTTACCTGCTTATCAAATGTAGCTGATGTTTTACCTTTTTATTTTTTAAAATCTTCACAAATTCCATGTTAGATCTTGGAAAAACTGGAACTCATGAGAACACTCCCATCTTGAACACAGAACCTCACTAATTTTACTCCACATCAATATGGTATCACTCACAACACGGATTTCCACGTGACATACAGACTTGAAAGCGTCGTTTCCAGCTTAACTGACCTGCTTAACTCTGGCAAGGTATATTAGACACAATATCAAGATGTTAGCACTGTGCTGAAGAACATCACTACATGTATTTAAGTCAGGTGTCTGTAATTTCATGGGCRTGCATTTCAATTCACTCCAGAGCTCCATAGGCAAGAAACAGTTTGATGTCCAGTAGCAAGAAGGAATCACTTGTCCATCACACGCACAACTGTATCAGAAGAGCACCCCAGGATTAGTCAAACGGAAAGCATCCACACCACACGTCAGGCAGAAAAAGGCAGGGGGGAAAAAAAAGCATCAGAACCAGTTTATAGCAAAGCCATCTATTATTTCAGAGAAAAATCAGGTTGAAGACAGCACACTTCTTACATGCCAGACTGGTTAGTTACTACTCCTGTGGTGCATCAGCACATTCCCACACCATTCCATGTATTCGTATGCAAGACTAATTCTGCCCTTCAGAAAAAGGAAGGCCAAGGAATGYTCTATTTTGTCATAGACATCACCTTTACTGTTTTTTTCCAAGCATGACAACTTAGATAAAAAAAGTCAAAGCACAAACATTTTGAAGTTTCAACTGCCACCACTTGTGATCCTTCTGTGATAATAATTTATACACTGTGTTTCTGAAAACCCTCCTCCCAAACCTTAACAGGGCTTCCAAGAGCTTTGCAAGAGAAAGACCAAGTCAGGAGCAAGGTTGGCTCTGCCTGGTATACCCGACGTTAACAACTGCATCTGGCAGGTTCTGCAGCTCCTGCACATTCACTCAATCAGAAGTGGTTCTAGTCAATGCTAATTCACATGTTCACTCAAGCCCTGCCTTGCAAAACCCCTTATGCTCATTAATAGTTTAAAATGCTGTCTGGGCACACACATATTAACACACCTTACGAGTTCTATCGTGCCTCCGGTTTACTGGCTACCAGGTAGATGTGGGCTAAACTTGGGTTGGCTTCCGGGGACATTCTGAGAGGCTGAAGTAAATGCAGGGGCAAGATCTAAACGTGCTCCCACTGTTCTGGGTGCTGGTCAAACACCTCCACCTTGAACAGCCGCCTAAGAGGCATTTCCTCCCCGCTAAGGCCATACGCTACACACTGCTGCTTGGCAGAAAAAAAGCCTTTAAAAGTTGCTGTCGCTATGAATATACTGAAAATAGACTGCTTTCAAGGAGGAGGAGAAACTGAGTGAGCATTTCAACAGTACACATGAAAAGCTTGTATCTTTTCACTGACTTATTCACTTCACAATTACTGACAAGACTGATGTACATATTTCTGCACCTGCACTTGTAAAAGCAGATAAAATATTTAATATGTAATTTACAATGTATTTTACCAGCTTGGCATACAGGATGGACAGAATATATCAAAGTAGTCAACAGTTATAGGCTTGTGGAGGCCCTGCAAAAATATTACTTCAGGTATCTGCTAATTAAAAAAAGAATTTGCATTTTAGAAGTGATACAATTYCATCTACCACAAAATACAAAGAGCCGCAAAAACGTATACCATTCCAACAACAATGTATATAAGTTATTAAATAATGATCTGATTTAAAAGAATATAAATGAAGCCTTTAAGTAGGTCTTTTCTACATGCATATTATTCCTCATTAAAGAAAAAAATATGTAAAAAGGCCATTGGTAATTGCTTTGTTAACCACTGTAGAAAATGCCAATTCTCTGGTCACAGATGCCACTAGTTTAGCACTTAAGGTCTCTGCAGTGTTATAAGTGATTATTTTTAAATACTGTTAATTCTATTACTCCATTGGTAAAGGATGCGTGACTTGGAATATGGCAGTCTTCATATTGAGGGCAACGATGCACAGTTTTATAGTTATCCAGAAGAACAGCACCCGCCGCTGCTCTGTACTTGTGGTTCATCATCAATGATCTGTACACCTCGCCTCGCTGTTCCTGACTGGCTGGAACCATTCCCTCTTGCTCTTTCATCCACTTGAGCAGTTTCTATCATTCCTGGAAATTAAGACATTTATTAGATTACATCCCACGTTTTTTTCTTTTCTCTCTCTCTCCCCTCCCTCCTCTTCTGCCTTTTTTTTTTTTTAAGACTAAGATCTTAATCCATTTCAGTTACATGCATAGATACCAAGTTCAGCAAGTGGCTCTCTCTAGTAAGTAGTTAGTAGCAGTTTTAGTTAGTTTAGTAGCAGTAGTAAGATTTTAGATATTACATGGCAGTTAAAAAAACCACACACACACCCATACACTCTCAGTCCCATTCCTAATGGACCAAAGATCCAAGAGYTCCTCCCGGCTAAAGAAGGATCTTGTACACTCAGATGTACTGAGATRGTGACCTGGAAAACCAAAGTATTGTAATTCTGCAATACTGGAAGCATTCACACATCAAGCTACCATAGCTCTTCGGGTATACAAGTGGCTTGAAGTAAAACAAAACTTGAAGTAAGTTTTAATGAAGGTTTCAAATTAAGGCTTTTATGTAAGGTTGGAAATATGACCCAAGCCTTCAGCTTTCTGTGAAAGAGTGCTTTACAAACAAACTAGACATAATACCTACTTTTACAAAGGTCCAGGAACAACTCTTCAATTCCTTTATTCTGTTTAGCTGAAGTATGATAATGTTTTGCTCCCACAGATTCAGCATACCTGTACRAATGCAGATACAGAAGAGTTCCACTCCATTGAAGCCTCATTAATCTTTCCAAACCCCAAGATTTTAAGTAAAGCTAAATGATTATAACTGTTTTCTCCTTCACTGAAACTTATCTACACATGCTGATTTAGCATATAATGGAATAATCTGAGAAAAATAACCATGATTCAGAAAAAAACAATAGGTGAAATAAAGAAAATGTCACCTCTGGAAATGCATTTAAACTACAATATTGACTTGCATCAAGTACAATTCTCAAATTGCAATTCACTAAGGCATTTGGGGACCCAGACAGTAGGAGAACAAGGAGCAGAAGCAGCCAGACGCTGCTGGTTCATGCCTGCCAGTTGCTAAGAGCATCACAAGTAGAGCATAATTCTGCAATGACTGTTTCTATTAATAGATGGTAACTTACGTTTCTGCTTCTTGCACTGAAACATGCCTCTCCTTTTCCAAGTCTATTTTGTTACCTGTTAGAGACAAGTTGATCCGTCAAGTTTTTGTATTCTAAAATTAACCCAAAGAGATCCTGCAATCATACCTGCACTTTTTTTTTTTTAAATAGAAGCTGACACAAAAAGATCCCACATTCGTCTGTTTGACACAGGCTAAAATGTTATAGGAGTCCACCTCCCACTCAAACATGTTCACTGCAACGTACAAATGAAGTTCTGCTCATTCCCACTACCTCCCCACCAAAGGCATGTGAATGTCTACATGGAGTCTGAGGATTTGCCATAAGAATATTAAAAAAAAAAAAAGGAGATTTAGGCTTTACTTTGTTAAGACTCTGCAACCTGCAGTTGTCTGCACCTTGACCAAGGTATAGCATTAAACAGTTTTGCTTCTTTAAAGCTCCTACTTTCTCTCAGCTGTAATTTACTGGAATTTTCAGCTGTTCATTTGTGCTTTTACTGGAATGTTTAGCTTTTTTTTCATTAGTTTAAAATGAATTTTAAACATTGAATTCACAGCACTTTTATCCCTTCACGTGCACAACGTATCACAGCAGCATTCTGAAAATGTTACTAATGAAAGAAGTGTTTTTAATTCAGTCACTACAACCATGCACTAGAAAGGACTTACCTACTATACATAAACAGATTTCGTTTCCCAACATTTTTCTTAATTCCTTAACCCAGTTTTTTACCTGCATAGAGAATAAAGACAAGTTTGTTTTCACTTTGATAAATTACTGCTTTAGGCATTACAGAACTGATCTATTCCTTCATGAACTGAGAAAGAATTGAATACAGCAACAAATATTTAGTGAATATTCTTTAGACAAACGTGTAGGGCTCTAGTTCCAGTATTCTGCAGGTTCTAGCTTACAGCTGAGTTACTAATAAGTGGCTTTCATTTCTGGAATAACTGCTTTACATAACTCACCACACACAGGGTTAGACCCACTCCAAAGAACAAGTTCACTGCACTCTGCATTTATTTCGTAGGTCAGTCRTGAGATCATTGACAGGAACTTACTGACACCCACTGCACTAGGCTTTTTTTTTTTTAAAAGGTATATAAATTTCCTGGGAGAACAGATGGGACAAGAATGTTGAGTTAACTGGTGGCCAGGGGTAGCTGCTTGCTTTGTTTTCCTGCTTTGAAGTTGTATGCTCAGAGCATTAACTTTGGCATTGCTATTTCAAGGGAATTTAAGTAGTGAGCAGAGGTCACTACGAGAACCTAAGAATACTTTAGGACATCATATAGAGCTAGTTATGCAATAACTTATGCAAATCTAATTCCTCCTGTTCYGAGAAGATGTCTTACTAACACAAAACCAAGCACATTTACATCTTGCAAATAGGCAAAATCTCTCACAGTACCTTCTGAAAAGAGTCTTCATCTGTTATATCATATACTAGGATAGCTCCATTAGAATCTCTGTAGTAGATCGGCCCCAACGCATGAAATCTTTCTTGACCTGCTGTATCCTGCAGTTGTTAAAACATACTCATTACCACTTAAGACAAAACAAAGTAGTTAAAAGACTGCAATGAGCTCCAAACTTCACAAATGTGTGTAACATTTGAGCTCTATTAATCATAAGCAGTTTATCAGGAAATTAGTCTACTGGGGGAAGGGGAAATTAAAGAAAAGCAAACATACCCATATTGCAAGATTTACTCTTTTCCCACCAATATTTAGCTTCTTAGTAAGAAAAGATGCCTGGAAAGCAAAACAGATTAATTAGAGTTCAGTTTTATATACACAAGTATGTCTCACTCGACTTCAGATCAATAATAAACACATTTGAATCATTAAAGAACAGGTTTCTGGATCGAAATACTTAAGACAGAAGGCTGGGTCAATACTAAGGCAGTTAGTCATTTCACTGCATTTTGCCAGATGTCATTTCTAAAGCTTAGCCTTACTTCCTGCTTCTTGTTGTCATWCTGAATGATTTGGGAAGGACTAGAAGAAGGTTACGCACAAAACGCCCGATCCAAAATGTTGATAAGCTTCAAGTTCAGCTTAGACTTTCCACTAGAGAATATGAAGTGGACGGGACATACCTCAACTGCTTGGAACTCTTAATTTGCAGGAAGTGAAGTAGTTCACTATTAGTAAATTATTAAAACAAAATAGTTTCCTACAAGTCTCAAAGCACTAGTATTTGGCAAGAAGTGCCCTGTTGTTTAGAAACCCCTCTGGTTTTCTGAAATGAGCTCACAAATCTCCTTTCACTTGTTTTATTCTAGTCCTGTTCCTACAACTTCAGTACGTTCCTCTTCACTGTACCCGAGGAAGAAAGTGCACAGATAAAAGSGGAGTGTCAGGACTGGCCTGCACATAAGGGGCCTCAAAAGAAGCATAATCAAGGAAATTCTTAAAGCGACTAAGTTGTCTTTTATTTGACAAGACCAGAATATATTACAAGCTTAGCCTAATTCCAGTAACTCAAAAGAATGTCTGTTCCTCTCAAAGCCATAGACTACATTTCAGATGCCACCTCTTACTAGGTGTACAGTTCATCTGAAAGGAGTATGGATCTAATACAAGTTTATTAAGCAGAAACATTAGACTTAAAGGTGTTCAAACTGTTTGCCCATCCTCAAATCCAGCAGCAACTACTTAATATCATTAGTCAAATCAGTTGACCAGAGCTGCCTTTGCCTTTTTCCTAAATTCTAGAAGAGCCTGCCTTTCAGCTTCACCTCATTTTGCATTCACACATCAGCCAGGTCTCTGCGGTATCTTACAGTACATTGATTCTAAATCATTTCAGGCTGCGCTGTAGCAGCTCGACAAGGTCTCTGCTTGAGCACTGGCCAGGCACCGAATTAACCAAAATCATCTGTGTGAGTGGAAAGGAAAAAATACATAGGCCAGAAAAGCTGCCTAAACCAGTCTGCCCTTTAATTGAATGAACACCTATACCCACACAAAAGACCATGGCAGTTAAGTTTATAGCCTAACCCACTGCRAAAACACCTCTCTGGAATGATGACCTTACAGTTGTCCCGCCAACTGAATGCGCAGCTGGCTAGAACAGATCCTGCTCTTGCACTACCTTCCTAACGGGAATTCTRGCACTTGTATGACATAAGGTAAGGAACTGATTCAAAGTCTTTCATCTCCTCTTTCAAATAACTTGTACCCTTTCCCTCAAGGCATTCCATAAAGTCTAAAAACACAATACAGACACAACCAATACACACAGAGAACAGACCATAGATTAAAAAAAAACCACACACACAAACTCACTTGAAGAGCAGGTAGCAGAACTGGTCATTGGGGCCCACTGTTTTCAATCAACTTACAGTCTACCTTTGGGTGGCGTAACAGTCAATGTCACAAATGGTTCCACACAGTATGTTTAAAATACATAGCATATTATCTAATTTGAAATAAAACAACATACCACTAGCGAGTCTTAAACATGAGGGAAGCTTTAATGGTTTAGAGGGAAATCAAGATTTTTACAGAAACTAGAATATGGCTTTTAGCTAGCAGGCCCCAAGGATCACTTGTCTACTCAGTCTCCAGTTTTGATATCCTACTCTGTTCTACTACAGCCAAGTTCAAAAGCCAAAAGTTTAGAAGTGACTTCAAAAAGTTGTAATTCACCAACACTGGTGGAAAAGTATAGGTTAAACACATAGAATCTAGCTTACTTGCCAATATTTTATTGAGGACTACCTAGACATGGGGCAAATCTGCAGGAGAGCTTTTTTGAGCATTATTTGCTTTTGCCTAAGCCTATGCAGGGCATTTCTTACAGACTGAGGAGAGCTAAGTGTGCAAGAACCGTTCTTGGACCTCTGCATTAAAAGGTAGAAACGCCTCAAAGAAACGGGGTTCATATTATATCCTTTTGAATACAGACTTCTGTGTTTCTAATATCTTGGCTTTGGATATTGGCCCAGAAGAGACACCTGCATCATTAACTGTCCAACATAACACATACTAAGCAGATTTATACCCCTAGACAAATTTTGCTCAAATATCTCTCCTTTAGGTCACCAATGATCTTGCTAGAAATCCTGGGTGGTTTTTTTTTTTCTTTTTTTTTTTTAATTAAAAAAGACCAGTAGCAGAATACTTGTTATCCTAAATACCCAAGCTTACATACATGTGAGTAGGCTTTTCAGTATCTCCTGAAAAAGAAACAGACAACAGCCCAGCGTGCCCTTTCTGCTGTACTTGCTCTCTGTATCAGGCTAGAGCTTAATCTAAAGTCTCAGATCCCTGGCTCAAAACAAGGAAAGACAGCATAGGTATGAAGAAGTTCACAAGCAAAGCTTATATGAACAGCTGTCTAAATAAGAAGTCTGTAAACTGGTAACGAGCAGGAAACCTCAGCAAGATGTTGTGCCAATAGTCAATACTACATATAGACAAAATGCTTCATTCTTTTCCATTGTGTTTGCATAGTAGAGAAATGCTCTGCCCTTGAATTAACAGATAGGCCAAGTTTGCCATATTTACCTTTAAATAATCACTGTATTTTATAGCCATAGTGGCACACTATGCCTAAGACACAAATACACACAGGGAAAGGGAGGAGAAGAAAAAAAGTATTATTTTCCCCTAAACTCCCAGGGAAAAGTTTGTCTCATGTAAGAGCAGGGTTACCACTCTTCACTCTGAAGGTTASAGATAATCAAAAAGCTCATCAAGCAAGCGGCAGGACTTGAACCTTTTAATGGAAAAAAAAAAAAGGCATATTAAGAGGTTTTTTTCCAGGTTTCAAAGCATAAGGAAGACCCCTAACTACTGTTCTGGAGTAGGGAGTTTCCCCATTCAGTCCCATTTAGGTTGCACAGGATGTCAAAACTGTTCAAAGTGATAAAGTCTAGACAACATTAGGAGTTAACGCATAGAAAATTCAGCATTTTCAAACCGCTACAGGCAGAGCGAACCACGGACTCATGGGTGAAGTGTCAACTGTGACTTCTAGCTTACAGTGAGCAAGCAACTCCTTTCTATACTATGCGAAAAATCCTACTTAACCCAGGAGGCTACAGTTAATTCCAAAACAAGCAATCTCATACGAGCTTCAAGTAAGATACTATTGGTATTTTGATTCACACAGTATGAGCAGTCTGAAGAATACTTACACACTTAGAAAAATCATAAATGCAATTACAGGAGCTAAACACCATTCTGTTAATGAATCTGTACAAAATCCTTGAACTTTCAAGAACTCAGCTCCACGTGTGCACCAAGCCCTGTTACAGGAGGTGAAGGGACCTGAATGGAACAAGGGGAAGATCCAGGTGCAACAGACTCTCAAGAGCAAGTCACTGCAGAGCGGGAAAGCAACTCACTGTCCTTGACCCCCTGGCTATTTTATTTTAGGCACAGGGACAAACCAGGCATAAGAAGACTGCATAAAGCACTAAGCTGAAAAAGCAGACCAAGGAGGCTACCTCAGACACCCCTGACAGCTCTCCAAGGTTAGCCAAGTTCCCCAAAGCAATCCACATCAGCAGTGTATGACTGGTGCAAGATTAGGGTCTCTTGTACTGGAAATTTTGTAGCCCTTTTCATATTTCAGGGATCAGAGTATAAACACTGCATTCATCTCCTGTAATTTAAAATCAGAAAGTATCTACCTAGATAAAGAGTGATAGTTTGAGAGTCAGTTTATTATTGGGGTAATTCTAACATCCACCACAACACCAGTTTACAGCTGAGAACCATTTAAAGACTAAAACACTGACCTCGATACCTGGATCTACGTGAAACGATTTTAACTGGCCCCACCAGGACCGATAATATACTCATGTCTTGTGGGGAGGTGGGAAATAAACACACTCAGCTTCCCTGCATCAGCTTCTTCACATGATAGGTGTTCTCTTTCCACTAATAGGAAACCAGCAGCTACCCTTTGTTTCCATTTAGAGGTCCTTTGAAATCTTAAGCTTGTGGTTTCAAGCTAATCTAACATGTCCCGGCAGCCTCCCCACCTCTGCCTAAAAGTTCCTGTCTATAAAAGGAGGCTCCAAATCTTAAGTTTCTGTCTAGCTGGAGGGGAGGCAGAGAGCTCCCTTTCACTATTACCCATGTGCTATAGGCCCTGGCGGGGGAGAGGGGGGTGGAGGAAGGAAAAGAGGGCAGAAGAGTTCCTATTTGTGTGTAGATTAGCCTCATTAAAAACATGCTAAAGTGTTAGAATTCGGGTGGAAAAGCAGAGATAYCCAACAGCAAGATTCCCACTGCTCAATTTAAGGCCTTCTCCTGCTCTTTCCCTTCAAAGGGAAGGTATCCCTAGGCCACATTTCCCATGAGACAGGGCTGGTACTGCAGGCAGCACCAGGCAGCATCACTACACTAACCTCTCAAAAGTCTGCAGGCCACCAGGCTGCTTTTTGTTGTAAACATACTGGAATAAAGCACAACGCAGAGCTGCCTTCATTTTTTTTCTGAAGCACAGAATTTTGTGCAAGAGCTACCTGCCCCACTATAAATACCAAGTATTTATCTAATATTGATTTTATTAGAAAGAGAATCATTTGCTGAAATACTTTTAATTGATGTCATGAAACAAAGCCACTTTACCAGATTAAGCCCTTAATTAAAAAAAGTAAAATAAATTTTAAAAGTATGTCTTACAGCAGAAGTCATACCATTGCTTAGTCAGATATTCTAGTTTCTCCATACCTTAATTTAAGGGATATTCTAACTTGTTAGTGGAAGTACCTATGATTTACTAGACTTTTTTTACTGCTATAGGGGAAAAAAACCAAAACCAATAATACACATTTTTGGATTATTATCATTTGGCACACTAAAATTCAACAGCAACTGAGACACAATATAAAAGCCAAGCGAGCTGAAAAAYACAATGCAATCAATTAGAAACAGCTCTATCACTTGACTATCTGCGTTTAGATAGCAAACAAGAGCCTAACTGTAGCAGTGACAAAATTTCTATTTCAAGCACCAGCACGTGTTTCCATTCCTTTACAAGCAATTCTCACTGTCCAGTCGGTCCAAAACAAGGAAGCTCCCAAGCCAAAGCATCTAGAGAGGTTTTTTACTAGCAGCATTTAATTGACCTGTCATTTAAAGCTCCTTTTTATGACATCTGTGAAATATGTCTGTATTCCAACTTACTTTTTGCTTCTGTTTTTGAATTTTCCACTAATGACTTGACCAACGTGACTAACTAAAACAGGGGAAGTGCTTAAAGGACAAGCAGCATTCATCCCYACTTCTGCTTGGGCTATCAGAATACACAGACCATTCCAATAGACTCTAAAAAATTCTCGTTTGCTTGATGTTGCAGTTCAGGTGAAAATCACATCCATATCCCAACGCCTGTAAGTTACTAGATCCTGCTTCAGCCAAGTGAAGTATCATTTACCTCTATTGCAATCAGAGCTGCAATTAGCCTGCCAGAAATACCACAGCAGATGCCTYGTGCCTAGTAAACCTTCCAACAGCTCTTTCCAACTCCAGAATATGAACATACGCTAATAAAGTTTAAAATATGTTCTTTTTTGATATTTAGKGGCAAAAAGGAGCAGCTGTATTTGTTAATGAAACATTCACCATATTGTTTCCAGCACATCCCCAATGCTCTCTGTTTTAAGGGAAAGCTTCACCATTAAGCACACTGCCAAGCTACCAGGCCCCAAAAAGACCTTTCAAAAGGTGTAGGAATAGCTCGCATTCACCTTGAGGCTCTTTTTGCAGCCACCACCATCTATTTATTCTGCACTTCACATGAGAGAATTTAAAAGGCAGCTCAAAACCCACCAGGGGCCCACATGGTGGCAGGATTTATTTCTTTACTTAAATAGCATCTATTAAGCGTGGCACACATGGCAGCTTTAACTAACCTGCTCACAAATGTTAAGAAAACCTRCTGCATAGCTGCAGATAAAAGGTTAAGTGAGCAGAGACAGCCCACCATACAAACTTCATGTACAATGAAAATGATGCAAAGTTTAAAACAAGCTTTCTAAGACCTGCACAGTCACACRAGTATCAGCTTTGGAGGTTTTGTTTTTTAACACCACAAACGTGCCATATCAASGCTGTAGATAGCGCAAACACACAAACATTTTCAGTCAGATACCCTCTCACACATTCATGACTGGAACAGCAGCTTCCTGGTGCTTGTGACTAATCTGACAGCATCACTGAGATCCAGTCCAAAATCCAARCAAATAAAGCAACAAGCAAGTCAAGAGACTTTTCTTTTTTGTGTGTGTATGAAACCTAAAGAAACATAGCACGAGCTTKCAAGTGATTTTATAAAAGGCTGCTCTCTTCCAAGGCTAGCACCGAGGCTCTGAACCRCCAGGCAGCCTATAATTATCAGAAATGGAGCACATACGAAACACTTAGTCATCAGCCCACTGCTGACGATTACAATAACAACATTAGTTTCAAATCACGCTTCCACCTCGCAACATTCAAAGGAACACATTCACATGCACAAACTGAAACTGAAAAAAAAAAAGTTAGCGTTAAGAATAGAAAAGAGTTATTTAGGCACTGTAAGCTTATATCTAAGGGGTTATTTAAACTAAGGCCTAGGCCTTTAGCACAGCCCGCTGGAGACAGCCACCATTCAGAGCGGGCACTGGTCTCACGGGCTACGCCGCAGCCGCAAAGGCGACGGTTTAACGGCCACGCGGGGAGCGCCGGTGCCGCGCGGCTCCCGCTACCGAGCCCGGGGCGGCCCGGAGGGGAGCGCGGGGGGCGGCGCGGCCCGCACCTGCAGCGTGGTGATGTGCTTGTCGTTGAACTTGTTCTCGCAGTAGCGCAGCACGAGCGAGGTCTTGCCCACGCAGCCCTCGCCGAGCAGCACCACCTTGAAGGAGAAGCTGCGGCCGCCGGCGGCCGCCGCCGCGCCGGAGCCCGCCGCCATCCGCGCCCCGCCGCCGCCTCACATCAACGCGCTGCGGGCGCYGCCGCCACCCTCCTCGCGGCCCGGCCGGGACGAGCGGCGCGACGAAGGGGAAAGGCGAGCGGAGCGCGGAAGGCRCCACAGGGAAAAACGAGAGCCAAAGCGCCGCCACCAGCAGCCGCCTGCCCCCTCCCCTAATGGCGTCTTCTTCCTCCTACGTCACGCGCCGCGCGGTCACGCGCCTCCCCCCCACACCCCGCCGCCAATGGGAGGGGCGGAGGCCAAAAGCCCCGCCCCAAAACCGGAGGGGCGGGGCCTCGCGGCGGGAGGGCGGGGCCGGCCGCGGCGTTGGCGGCGGACGGGGTGACAAAATGTCGCCGCCCGCGGATGCGCGAGTGCGGGCGCACCTGACAAAATGTCGCCGCTGCGCGCCCCGGTGGCGGGAGGGAGCAAGGGAGGCGCGGAGGAAGGGAGGAAGGGAAGGGGCTGCCCTCGGTGCCCGCGCCGCGCGCTCCGGGCGGGGCCCCGCTGCATCACGTCACGGGAGCGACCGTTTTTTTCCGTTGCCCGTAAAGGCAGCGCAAGGCGGGTGGCAGTGGTGCAGGTGGCTGCTTGGGCAGGTCGCGCTCGCCCTGGATGCTCATCTAGAGCTCCCCTCTCCAAAAAGCTTCCAAAAATACCAATCTGCTGCTCAAACATAAAAAGGCTAATATTCCACATTATCTGTGATGATACTTGTGGCCTAAGCAGAGCAAATAGCTTTACCATATCTAGTAACARTATATCAGCAGGGAGGGAAACCCACGTAGGATTTCCTCGCACATAGCAGCCTGGTTATCAGAATCCTCGTCTCCAGAAGACTTGCCACAAACGCAGCCGCAGARCTCGTGCCAGGCAGCACGTCGTTGCTGATCACGAGTGTCATTAAACAGACCRTAATCAAACGCTTTAACCAGAGATACAAGAGAAAGCAACAAAAAAAGGCATGAGAAAAACATGCTCGGAGGTTCCTTGACGAGAGCAGTCTTTGATGCACTAGCTTTCCACCTGTCAAATCGAGTACTGTGCCGGCATTAAAAGCTGCCCGCGCACCCGGCCCGACTACTGGGATGTAGCTTCTCCCTAGCCCTTGCTTAGTGGTGAGAAAGAAAGTGCTTCTGAAAAGGCTTCACGGTGCAGTTTCCTTGTTTTTGTTTTTCTCTCTGTCAGAGGATATTAATGCTGTGTTGTGTGAGAAGGAATAGAGGGAAAAAAAGAGAGAATGCCACGAGGAGAAGAAAAATCAAATTTCCTGAAGCAAGAAATATCATTACCAAGCAGTGTCATATTTATATACCAAATAGTTTTTTTTTAACCTTTTTATTTTTTCCAATTGTAAATACATAGAAAAAAAAAGATTAAAAATCAATGCAGACAAAATTTTCAAAACTATCTTCTTTGAATAAATTTGCAGTTTTGTGGGTATGTAAACGATTTCCACAGGCTGCTAAAAAACTGTGTTTTGCTGGAAAGCAATACTGGCTTCTGCTATTCATGGCCTCCCTGAATAGCCAGTAGAACTGTCTAAGAGGATGTTATTCCTCTTCCAAGCTGAATCAAAGAAGCAAGATCAGTTCTGGATCAAGGTTGTCAAAGATGATGGAAATCAATGCCCAGGAGTGCAGCCTGCTTGTGAGGCCGAATGGGTCGCTCCCAGTGAGGCAGGACTGTGTGTTTTCAGGAAAATGAGATTCTATGTATACTCTTTACAGTGAAACAAGATTAGACTAAAGAATAAGCCTGATTTATACTTTCCAGTTTTCCTTTAAGTAGAAATGATCCATATGTCTTTTAAACCTTATTGGTCAGAAGGAAAGCTGTTGGGTTTTGACACTTCCCGCATGGGTGATTTTTTATCGATCTTCAGTCAAGTATGTGAATATATTGAACACTATGGTGGAAATATAGACTATCTCCCAGTGAGAAAGAATTAACTGGGGTCTGAAAAGCTTGACTGCCTCTCACTGCTTGCACAGAAGCTGAACCTTTAGAAGGCTTCGGGGCAGATACCCCATGTGAATCCTGTGGCTTCACCCCACGTGAAGCCCAGGGTACAGCTGCTGACAGCATAACTGCGATCATCCTTTTTCTAACAGAAAAGAACAGAGCACAAGAAACCAACTGCCACTCAGTTTTAGCAGATTTCTCTRGGCATCCATCCCTTGCCATGCTGCACTGTCCACAGCTTCATCTTCCCACTGACAGCAGCCGCTGCTGCGAGCAGCTGCTGTGCTGCCTTACTTCTGTCTTCCTGTCTCTCTTGGAACTTCTCCTTACTGCCTTTTCTTGCATGGGAAGTCTGAAGCTCTATATTATCTGAAACTGTAAGTACTCTAGTATCCCAAATTGCAGACATCAGTGTTAAATGAAGTAAAAGGGGTGGTCTGGCTAAGAATATAAAATTCTGTCTCAGCTACAGAAAATGTTACCGTTTACTATAACCCGATAGTCGTGGCTTATTGGGATCTATGGATTTAGTTGTACATAGTCATTAGCCACTTAAGGTGGATTCATTTCACCTAACCTGTGGACACATACTTTTAAATAGATAAATTCCAGATAAATTTGTTTTAAGAGCAACACCCAACTGACTTGGCAACATGTCCTTTTCCCTACAGCTTCAGTGGAACAACTGAGTTTCATCAAGTCAGCAACAGCTTCTGACAGAAATGAAAATGGAAAAATTAACTATTTTACTGGTTGCAACTTCATGAAAATATYTTTTAAGATATATTTGCTGTTTCACAGGGAAACTTCAGAGAATGAGATGTGTAAATTTGTGTTTCTAACACAACTGATAGGAACTCAGTCTAGAAGGGGAGATGGTTGACGCTGTTCTTCCAATGGCAATCACAAGTAACATCAAYCTATGCATCAAAATATAGTAGGTGTTTTTTTCCTAGGGTGAGTTCCATTCTTCAGGCTACTTAAGTGATGGCAAGCAGAAATATAATATTATGAAGTGTCAAAGGACTAAGAAGATACAGCTTGTGCTCTTCTTAGTGAAGAAGAACGACAAAGAAGACAGACAAGTGTTCGGGTGCTGAAGATGAAAGTAAGAACCTGAGCATGTAAGGTAAGGACATGAAAGAAGGTAAGAACAAGAAGGTAAGAACATGAGCATGAACCCTGTCACTCAGTACTTAGAGCCTCAGCATAGCTGTGGAAATCTACTAGACGGGTTCAGTAATGTGTTTGGAGACACTGCAGCATGAAATTTGTTCCTTGAAATTTGTASAAACAACTAAATCATAGAATCTGATTTCTGGCATGGAACAACTGTTATTTTTTTCCCGTAAAGAAAAGGATATTGATTAAAAACAAATCAGTTCTCCCTGTTGGAGAGAAACCGTAAGCATCATGCTCTCTAGGACGAGCACTTCCACATCCTTTGCTGCTTTATATTATGTTGTCCATGCACACAGTGATACACACATACAGTGAGGCGCACACACAGTGTGGCACACGCACAGTGATGCACACATACAGTGTGGCAATGCTGAATAGCATCTCCGTGTGCTTGTACTAGTCCCCCTCACTGGGCAGCAGCATCCTGAGCTCAAGCCAGGGCGCAAACAGCCCGCAGCTCTGCCGGCCGCTCAGCCCCTCTCAYGCTTTCCCTTGCAGGGCTGGAGGCRGCTCAGGCTCTAAGGATGTTGTTGGGGCTCTAAATATTTTCTTCTTCTTCTGGCACTGTCCCTGGAATGAGCATCCCTTAAGTCTGTTACTCCTTGAATTAGTAAAGAAAGACTGGTGAAAGGAGCAGCGAAAGTGGGTGCAGAATGGGCAGAATGCACAGATGCACCAGGGAAAGCTCAGAGAAAGAGAGAGGGGGGCTCAAGAGCCGCCTGCCCCCTCCAAAGAAAAAAAAACACACACAAAAATCACTCTAAAGAAGAGTGAAAAAATAAAAAAAAAAAATTAAAAACACCCTAGAGAAAGCCATCAAGCAAAACCTGTGTTCATTTATTGTAATTCTTTCATATGCTTCTTCTCCCAAGAAGAATGGAGAAGTTGCTTCTCCCAAGAAGAAGCATCCTTTTATATGCTTTTCCCAAGGAAAAGAAGAGCAAAAAGGAGAGTGAAGTGACTAAAGATATGAGAGAAAGAAAGGATGAGGAGGAACTTTTTCCTAACGTGTCTTTCTTTCTTAAAAAAAATAAAGCTCTTCCCATCATGTTCACACCTCATGTGCAGATGTACTATATTAATTATAGGAAATAAAATACTTAATATGTAAAGTATGTTCTCTAAAAAGCCCTATCCTCTGTGCCTTTTGTTGGAATGGTGTCACTGCACTGCGGATATTCCCGGCCTCAGTGAGCTGTGACTATTCTCACAAACTGTTTCAGTTCCCAGAGACCTTTGATGTAAATTTTAATTATTGAGGACTTGCAGCAAAGAACCTGCCTCTCTAGGGCAAAAATGCAGCGTACAGCGGCAAGACTCTCCAGGACTGCAAGATACAGACATTTCTGTTTGCAAATCCTCGAAAGGGATAGATTGGCATCCTGTGTGAGCAAGAATCCCTTCCCATGTCATTCCACAAGCCCACTCTTCAAGGCTCCCTGCTCCTGCAGAYGAGCTCTGGCTGCCAGGCTGAGCTTGGTCCCCACCTGAACTGCAGCTCCACGGCTGGGACTGGAGCTGCTCTGGGTGCCATGGGGCCCTGGCATTCCCAGAAGCTGGAAAAACAGAAAATACTCAACAGAAATAGCTGGGCTCTCCTCTGGTACAAATGGGATTTCTTGGCTTCATGGTACATGCATCCACAGTGCTGCAGTGGTGCCTGGAAGGTTTCACTGGTGAGGATGAATCCTCTTGGATGGCAACGAGTGTGAGCAGCCTGAGGGATTGTGTGGTGACTAAACTGGTGAAGGACCCTGAGGGAATAAACACATTGCAAACCTGTATACATAATGTGGTATTCATACCAACAGCCTGGGAAGCAAACCAGAGGAATTAAAAATTTCCCTGATGAAAAGAAACGTGTTAATGAGTGGCATTTCTGAAGTTTTCTTGGACAATTTGAGTGGAAAAAAWATATATATATATAAAAAAATGATTTTGCAAGCATAAAAATTGTGAAAAAATTC